ATAACTTCAAAAGGCATCACGAAGATGGAATGTCGGTGCCGTTAGACCTGGCGGGAAACACCCACGCATGCGTAGTCCGATCAGCCGGTGAACTCCAGAACCTTCCTCCAGCACAATGAGTAACCCCTCCCAAATACCATGCCCTACCTCCCCGTTTCATGGCAGCCGAAGCAACAGCAAAGCAGAGGCTGACAGGCAGTGACAACTTACCTCCCACAATCAAAGAGAATGCACCGGCAAAGTTTAAGGAATAGACATTTTGGGTTACGTCTGCACACAGATATAAGCCAGCGTCCTCCACTTTGGCGTTGGAAATTTCTAGTGTCAGCGCCTGACCTTCAGCCTTGCAGTTAAATTTCGACTTGCTGCCACTAAACCCACAATTATTTGTTAAAAGCCTTAGTTTAGTCTCTTCTCTTTTATACCAACGCATCTTAGGTACATTGTCGGTGATGTCTTTTGAAAAATTGCACACGATTGCGACATTTTCTCCAACGTCCACAAACAGGAACTGATCATTTTGAGCTTTGTATACTGCGAAGACAAAATAAGAAAAAAAATATATTGGGATTCTAATTTTAACTTGATGTCAGATCAGGGGCAGAGAAGTCAACGATCACATTCACCTCATACAGATCTCTCCAGATGGTCTTGGGCCACAGGTTGTGAGGGCCTCTTTCCCACTAGAGGAAATATATACTATAATGGGGTAAAGTAAGTAATTTAAAAGGCAGCATTATTCCTTTGATAGGATACTATAGTTCTGTCAGGTCCAGTCTAAGAATGACATAGAACAAACCATCCTTTATTTGCCTACATCCAGTAGACAGAATCTTGCCAGACTAAACATTTACTATTCTCACCCCAACAGATAGGCGCTGGAAAATTCTAGAGAACGGCTATCCTAACTCTCTTCCTCTGTATTCTAACTAGGTCTGGGTGCTATTGCCTTTTGTTTCACTCCCTCCTTGGCATGTGATCCTTCCTTCTTAGGAAGCTACTTCACTGTAATCGATCACAGCACCTCAATCTGTAGGCACCATATCCCGCACATCTTCACTAGAATAAAACCATAACAACACATAATCAGAGTTGTGGAGAAAACTCTTTAGGAAATGTGTATTACTGGTCTTTGACCGTAATAAGGATTTTACTTACTTACTTACTTACTAACTTATTTACTTACTTACTTACTTACTTACTTACTTACTTACTTACTTACTTACTTACTTACTTACTTTAGGAAATCAAGTTAGAGAACTTCAAAAGCTTTTGTGGCACTTCAAAGACTATCAAGTTAAATGCATTTGTTTTCATGAAATGAAAACTGCTAAATTGTTATCAGCCTATAAGATACCACAGTTTCACCCCCCCACACACACCTTTTCCTGCCACATGAAGAAAATCTCTTCTCTGAATCAGATCCCAAAGTGCTTGTTTAAGAGGTTTCTGATAGAACAGATTGGACTTACCGATGGAGAACAGGATAAGGCATTTGGTGAACTGCATTGCTATAATGAGCATCCAAAGAAGGGTTAGTAATTTGTGTACCAGATGGGTGGTAACAGTGTTGATAGTGAGCCATCAAAAAAAACAAAACATTGGTGGCATGTGATTCACTCTTTGGTTAACCCAGTGATGTGGATTCCGCTGCCTGCATTTCACCTCCTCCTGTCTGACTTTTTTCTTCACATCTTTAGACCAGGACTGAGGGGTATTTTTATTGAGGTCACAGTTCTTCCTTGTTGGTTTCTTTGCCTTACGAGCTGATTTTATGATTTTACGTACTATTATAGCATTATTTGGGCAGAATAATATTATTCAGTAATAGGAACATTAGTGTGAATGTGCGGAGAGGGGCTTGGATTTCATCGTTGTCTTGCTAAAACCCTGCCTGCTTTCCTTTTAAAAGGGGAGAAGTTAGCTAGCAAAGGCAGAGCTAAAGTTTTCACAGCTGAGAATATTTCCCCTGCCCCTCTTAATCTTCGTTCTCTTTCTCTAAGCGACAGGAACTCTAAAGGTGTTGCTGTGCACGGGCTGAGTTTAAATCAAACTGTTGAAAATTAACTGTAGAGGCTGGAAAATGAAGATGTTTGCTCATTGTGCTGGGATTCTCCTACTTGTCTTGCATGGTAAGTATTTTTGAAACTTTTGTCTTATTCAGATTCTTTTTTATTTATATTTAAATACACACACGACATCGGGGGGGGGAGAGGCGATTAAATTGTGTCTGTGATTGTCAGAATGTGTCTTCAGACATGTTAGCTCAATGGTCATTTATAATAAATAATAATAAAGAGCCGAGGTGGCACAGTGGTTAATGCAGCACTGCAGGCTACTTCAGCTGACTGCAGTTCTGCAGTTCGGCTGTTCAAATCTCACCAGCTCAAGGTTGACTCAGCATCCTTCCGAGGTGGGTAAAATGAGGACCCGGATTGTTGGGGGCAATATGCTGACTCTGTAAACCGCTTAGAGAGGGCTGAAAGCCCTATGAAGCGGTATATAAGTCTAACTGCTATTGCTATTGCTATTTATAGCACATCATTAAAAAAGCAAGCAAAGCATAACTGTCAGCTTTCAATATTTCCTCTCAGCAGAGCACAGCTAATAGCTAACGCGTTATTGTTTTTATAATAACATTAGAAACACAAAAGCACTAATTTGCAAAACAAGTGGAGGAGTATTTTGCAGGGAATGTTTAAAGCTGTTTTCTGACACACATGCTGTTTTTAAGTAAATTCTACAGAAATCCATTTTTTTCTACACCAATAGTTTTAACACTTGAGTTGTTCAGCTTCTGTGTTTTATTTCTATCCTGATTACGTGGCTTTGCACAACACCTTCATGAATAAAACAAGTGCAACTCAAGAACTTTCGAAATTATAATGTATTACATAGCATGCATTTGTTATTTTTTTTTTAATTTAAAAAAAAGATTTTATTGGTAAAAAGAAAATACAACATCCATAACTTGTAAAAAACAATACAACTACATTTCGAGATATTCCCATACTATCAAATCATTATAAACATCAAAGGTTAGGTATCTTATTCCTTCCCTCCCTCTTCTCTTCCCTCATTTCTTCTTTTCCATACCCTTTTCTTCCCTCCCCCCCTTACTTCCTTCTCCCCTGCCTTCCCTCCTTTCTTTTCTCCTTTCCACCTTTCCTTCCTCCTCCTTTCCCTCCCTCGATCCCCCCCTCCTTCTCACATACCTTCCCTCCTTCCCTTCCTCTTTCCCTCCTCCTTCCTTTTCTCTTAATCTCCCTCCTTTCCTCCCTCCTTCCTTCCTTCCTTTCAACTCTCCTTCTCTCTTTATTATATATGTTATTTTTTTATTGATTGGTTGATTGATTGATTGATTGATTGATTGTGGGGCTTCTAGTGTATCATGCTATTAGTTTGTGTAGACTGTGCCAGTACGCTACTTACTCCATTCAGCCATGATGATGGTTTTGGAGTTTACTGTAGAAAAGGAAATCCATCTCAACATGTATTGCAAGAATGAATGAATTGAACCAATGAGTGAAAAATGCATATACGGAGAGAAGGGACACATTCACATTCTCTCTCTCTGCTTCATTTCGCAATAAAATGTGTCTTTGTTTTCTTCTTTGTAGCAGCTGATTCACAGAGTAATGAAGTAAAAAAGATTGAGGTTCCTTTGGGAGGCAAGGTAAACATCAGCTGTGAAACTTCAACTGCGTCCTTCACACGGATCGTGACCTGGTACAAGGAAGGAGAAAACAGAAACCTGGGCAAGATTGATCAGGATGACAAGAAGTTGAATAGAAAGTCAACATGCACCTCACACTTCTGTAACCTGATTATCAACAATGCACAAAGGAAGGTCTCTGGTATTTATACCTGTGTTGAACATCAGGGAGCTAACATACTACTCATGCACAGGACAAGAGTGATAATCACAGGTGAGAATTCAAGCAGATCAATAACTTAGTGACCGTGGGCCAGCTATGCTTTCTCAGTCCATCCTGGTGTACAGAGTTCTTGTGAAGAAAATGAGCAGAGTCTTATATGTACCACGCATAGTCTTGGTGGAGAAGTAGGATATATACCATAATACGTAAATGATGTAATCAAGTGTCAGTAATGACGCTGATTTGGGGGAAAAACTAGAAAGAAGATGGTTCACAGTGGAAAGTGGACATATTATGCATGCACATTTCAGTTACAAAAAAAAATCTAGATACTTCCACCATCATAAATTGTAAAGTGTGGGCATGAAATATGGAAATATTGAACAGTTTTTATGTCCTGTCAATGTGTGGAAATTATTCACCATGAATAGCCCAATATATCTCCTTTTGATTTTCTATTTGTGTGTATTGTTCACAATAGGCTATAAAATGGATTGGTTTTGGCTGGTATAATTTGCTTTACTTGTGTTATCACCTCTCAAAAAGTTTGTTTTGACCTGATTGCTAACATAACTATCATTTTTGACTGTGGTAAGCTAACCAAATAATTTATTATTACAAATTATTATGATAATAATTTATTATTAATAATAAATGTAATTCAAATTTAATTCAACCATATAGCCCAAAGGAAATTTAAAAGAATGGTCACAAATTCTTTGGTAGAAGGAATATGTTTTAAATAGTTCTATCTAAAAACAAATGCTTTAGTTGATCATACAAGGTTTTATGAGTAGAATATGTGTGAAAATTTGTTTTAGGTTTTTTTAAAAAATATTTTCCTCCTAAAGCCGAGGTGGTGCAGTGGTTAGGGTGCAGTACTGCAGGCCACTTCAGATGACTGTCATCTGCAGTTCAGCAGTTCAAATCTCACCA